GAAGATAGTTCTCATGGGCCGTCATTGTGCTCACATATTGTAAGTGTGCCCAATCCTTCAAACCCCCGCTCCGCCCCACCATGTGCAGGACAAGGATCACCAGGTATCTCCCCACCATGTCTATGTCCATCTCTACATTTACTTGGGCAACCAGCAGCAAGATGTCCTTAGAGGAATTCCTAGGTCTGCCCTACTGTAGTTTGTTCCTTGTTTAACCATTTGCTGCAATTTGTCCCCTGCTGTACGTTGACACAACCAAAAGTATAAAATCCTCATAGCATGGTTCTTTTTTTGCCACTAAATTTTAATATGGAGAAGATTGTTTAGCACTTTTATACAGTTGTTTCTACCAATATGTGCATTGTTTACTGATGATCTTTTTTAGGGACATCACATTTTGGGATTGACAAGAGCCCTCCTTACTATCTTGTATTGTATTGGAACTGTAATGTCTTCCTTATATTGTAAAGCGCTGCGCAAACTGTTGGCGCTATATAAATCCTGTATAATAATAATAATAATAATAATAATATATACAGTTTGTGTGTGTGTATTTGAATATATATATTTATATACACTGTTATTATGTTTAGTAGTTTTTTACTTATTTAAATCCTGTCTGTTAATCCATCCATAACATAATAAATGGCTTTAATTTTAATTCAGAATTTCTGAGCTTTGAAATAAAAATATGACAATTTGGCATATGTTCTTCAGGAACAAGAGTGAAGCAGTCACAGAGAATACTTTGGCAAAGCCTTGAAGGGCTTAAGAGGAAGAAGAATTTCAGGCTTACATCAGTGTCGTTGGGCTGAGGAGAGAGGTCACCGGGTACCATGCAAAAGATAAAGAAGAAAGTTAGAGAAATATTGTTTATGAAAAGATAAAACTGGAAATTCTGAACTCTACAAGTAGGAGGGTAACAAACTCAAGATAGGTGTGAAAAGTCAGTCAGAGCTGGACACATTGAGCACCATCAGTTTCATATAGCCAAAAGTCTGTGGACACCTGACCATCACTCATATGAGTTTGTTGGACTTTCCATTTCAAAACCAAGACCATTAATATGGAGTTGCCACTTCTCCGTCTTTGCAACTATAACAGCCTCCATTCCTCTGGGAAGGTTTCCCACAAGATTTTGGAGTGTCTGTGGGAATGTATGCCATTTGTCAGGTCAGGTACTGATGTTGGATGAGAAGATCTGGCTCACCATCAACATTCCAATTCATTCCAAATGTGTTCAGTAGGGTGGAGTTTAGGGCTCTGTGCAGGCAATCAAGATCCTTCACACCAAACTGGTCACACCATGTTTTTATGGAGCTGGTTTTGTAGACAGGGAACATTAATGCTAGACCAGAAAAGGGGTCTTCCCCTAGCTGTTACCACAAGGTTAGAAGAGCACAATTGTCTATTATGACTTTGTATGTTGTAGAATTCACAAAACCTTTATTGGGAACCCCTGAACGCCATCTTTTATAGGGTGTCCACCCATAGTCTTGGCCATATAGTGCAGGAGGATAAAGCTGACAAACCCTCATGACTCCACCTACTTTCTTTTACATAATTCCCTGTTAGCTTGAAAAGGGGCCCTACCAGCATTATGGGATCTTGCATGAAACAACTGCAGATCCTCATCCTCATGAACGCCGATTTATATATTTACACTGGAGTAAATTGCAGAAGCATTATGAGAAAACCAATGGCCAACCCAATACACATGTCAGGGTTTCCTTTCCACTCACCTGTCCTGTCACCTTCCAGAAAGTATCCCGCAGCAAGGAAAGCTTCATCTGAACTCCGATGGCTGTGAAAACAAAGGAAAAACATGTTTGCAAAGATTTTGATTTTGAGTGTAATCCACAAACAGCATTTCCCCTGCGTTATCAGTGCATATAAAGTGTGCAGTATTTCTTGGTGCATTGCAACACTTTTAAATTTTTATGTAATTAGTCAATGTGCAAAAAATTATGCATTTTTCACTGTCCAATCACAGGCAGGGGGAGGGTCAAGACCTAGAAGCGTTTCTGAACTGCAGCAGAGGAAAATCAGGTCTCCTGCTGTGTAGAGCTGTGGAAATCTCAGGACTGGATGGATGGATCGACAGAAATTCACTTCCTTTAGCAGCTGAACCAGCTCTCATATATGTATTTCACCGGAGTATTTAGATGTTTGTCAAAAGTCATCTGTTTTTTTTTTTTTATATATATTGATCAAACAAATACATCCAAAGCGCAGAACTAATGTCCCTGTAAAGGAGCCCGCAGAGGAAAAAGAAATGAGTACAATTATTAGTAAAATTCCTTCTCTCTTTTGGCTCCCAGGCCCTATACAGCTGCCTGCGTGGCATCACATCAAAGGACAAGACTTTCCCTTCTGACAATAAACTCGGATCTCCCTTGCAGCTATTATTCCTGTTTCTTGGATTCCGCCCAAACTTGCTAACTGTAGAAAACTTCTGAATACCAATCCTGGAACACACAATCTCTTCATCCATCCCATCTGACTTGGGACACCTTACCAGGCACATGTGCAGCACTAAATAACGCTCACTATATCTGCATAAAGGGGGGGTCGCTGCTCCCCTCCAGAACCAAAAAATGTGGAGAGATTAAATGTGTTATTGAATCAAAACACACAAAGACTCATAACACCGTCTCTCTTCAAAATCAATATCCCAGAGAGCTCAAAGGAGCTTTAAATGAGAATTGCACTAGAGCTGCAACAGTTAATCGTTTTAGTCGATTAAAATCGACGATTGAAAACGTTGGCAACGTTTTCGATCGTCGATTCGTCGGCTATCGATTGCTTAGCCTGTTCGGGGCTCCACAGGAGGAGAGTCACACGTCACACACTGCTACCGCTGCGCCCGACGTGCCCACCGCCTAAGCCACGCCCACCGAACAGGCTGAAGCCGCTCACGCCGCTGGTCTCCTCCTCACCGTGAGCTCCCTCAATACAAACTAGTGCGACTTGAATGATATTCCATTTTGCTCATGTGGTTAGCACTTTCCTCCCTGTTCACATAGGAAAGGACTGGCACCTGTCCCAGCAATAGTACATTATATACAGCGCACTGCAGAATACCACAAGCTATAGAGGACTACAAATCGCAGCAATAATACATTATATAGAGCGCAATGCAGAATAATGCCAGCTACAGAGGACTACAAATCCCAGCAATAGTACATTATAGTATAATGTACTATTGCTGCATTCCTCTATAGCTGCTGGTATTCTGCACTGCGCCGCTGTATAATGTATTATATTGCACACCACACTTTTTTTTTTACTTCCACCGCTCTAAGCTTGCTCCCTTGATGGACTACAAGCTCAATAGAAACTAGTAGTCCATCACTGGAGCCTTTTTTTTTAACCGATTAATCGAACTTAATAATCGGCTAACTAATCGATTATGAAAATAATAGTTAGCTGCAGCACTAAATTGCACTCTAATTAAAGATCGGGGAAAAACACAAAACGAACCGCTGAAACCAAATACATAACCAAAGAGCACAAAGTATGTAAAATATCCTCTCTGCATCGGAAGAGCTATGACTACACAGATCTGATTCAATGGAAGGCACAAATTTCCTAATGGATGACGTCTATGACCGATCGGAACCTGGGGCTGGACAGGGCCCTCCCTGCATCTTATAGATTTATTGATTTTCTATAAAACAATACATTTTAAGCACAACCCAAAGTAGAACTGCAGACAAATGTTTTTTTTAGAAGTGGGGAAAGCTCAGAACTTGGGACCTGTTTTCTGCTGTCTGTGTCCCCATGGGATAGTTTTTCCTTAACTCCTGGTGACAGGAAGTGAAAAGAAATCTTTCTAACAAGGAAATAGACCAATAATGACTCTGTCCCACTGTATTCAAAATAAAAAAAAACAGAAGGCTAAAGAGCAAGCCCTATTTTTTGCGTTTGCAGTGGATCGCTTTGCCACGCGTTCGATCGCACTGCGGGCGGTGGGCCAGGAAGCGGTACAATTGAATTCAATGCACTGCCACGCCCCCCCTCCCACGCCAAAACACTTGGAGCAGTTTGTTAGCGATCGCGGTGCGTTCCAGCAGCTACCCCTCTGGAACGCACACGCTTTCGGTGTGAAAAAGGCCTCACATGTCTGTATGAATACATTCTGGACATATCACAGGATATACAACAGAAACAGCATATTTTACCAGAAAAGCTCCATCATTTAATAAGCCGACCTTGAGCTCCAGTTCAATGACTTTGCCCAGGCTGAGAAGATGTCATCAGTCTGTTGCAGGCAGGTAGTCTCCCTTCTTCCAGTGATCAGACTGCAACGCTGTAACTGTTTTATAAGTGAGAGGCTGCAGCAGGGGCTGCACTGAGTCAGATATTTGTGAAAAGAGCCAAGAGGTGAACAGGCAGCAGGATTTACATGATTGTATCATACCTGAGCCGGTGTTTTATCGAAAGTTCTAACTCATCGAAATCTCCAACTACCTCACTGCCGGGTACTTGCAAGTTGGAGGTTTCGACCAGACGGCGTTAGACTGCAAAACACAAAGACTGACGGAGCTCTGTACAGCTGCATGTCAACAATATTCAGCAGGTGGCAAACTCGACGAGTAATCTGAAAACGCTATGCGCGCATACGCACCGCAACTGTAGAGCAGTCTTTCTGAGCACCGGAAGTGAGGTAGTTGGAGATCTCGATGAGTTGGAGCTTTCGAGAGAACACCGGCATCATAGTCCATGAAGTAGATGACGACTGCAGATGATGCCTGAACAAAAAAAGGTGCTGTCCTTAGCACCCCTAACTTTCAGATTAAGCCTTGCCCACCTGCCATCCTGTGGCATTGCAATGGTGCACAGACATTCTCTCAAAGGTTTGAAGAAGAACGGTCAGTGAGCAGGGACCTAGCCCTGAAGCCAGGCAAGTCAAGATCTACAGTGAAACTATTATCAGAGGGGCACACAGGGGAGGTATGTCTAATTAATTAAGCTAATAGCAGCCACCTTGTGGTGTCTTCCTTTATAGGAGTTGACAGGTTCACTTTATCGCCCACCCTTTGCTTCACGAATCCAGTGTGAAAACCTCTGAGGGTTAATTAGGACAGGCACGTGGACCAATAGTGCAGAGTGCTGAATCAGGACTTATACCTGCAATCCTCCAGTAGTGAAGGCCCCTCTACGTGTAGCTGTTCTTCATCTGACACGTGTCGGCTAATTTAATAACGTTGATTACATGATAGTCTGATTAAAGGATGCGCTAATTACACAGCTGACAGCCAATAAGATTGATGACAACATATTTCTCCAGATCCTCTCGATGTGTTTGAGACAGACGCAGCGCTCCTCAGCAATCTCCTCAGTTCCTAACAAGTGTTGTGACATTTACAGCACAGCCTCCTATTAAACCATATTATGCCATAACAGGTCCTCGCCCCTTCCACACCTTTTCCAAAATAAAAAAACAATTTTGGCTGGAGTTTGGTTTTACAAAAGATAACATTTAGGTTTAGATAGGACAATGCATTGTATTTTCTGTTCCTTGGAATATGTAGAGCAATGACGGACACCTTGTGTTCAGCTCCTCCGCACCCAGCTCACACAGAGCAGAGCTAGGAGAGGCCTACTGTATGACACAGGTCAAAGGTCGCAGGAGGGGAGGTTCATCCTCCTAGGAAAGGGGAGACAGGTATTGTTGAGGGGACAGCAGAGCTTGGTAAGGATCAGGCCTATGTCTTCACAGCTGATGATGGGGAATGGTTAGAAGTCAGAATGAGAGAGGGGAAGAAGAAGATGAAGAGTAGGAATAAACTCAAGTCTTCTATTGAGCCTACTGTCTCTTCTTCCTCAGATGCAGATACCATGGAGTTGCTAAATAAGTTTGGTGTATTCTCAGATGAGGGTAGCCTTTCTGAGATGGAGGATTTGGAGCAGGGTGCCCAGAAACGGTTGGGCTCTCCTTTGGGAGGCAAACAGGTCATGAAGCACCTATCTCGATCACCATGATGCCAGTTCCCGACCCGATTAAGCTGGTGACCATTAATGTCGCCAGTGTGAAATCTGTGAGTGCTTGTAATGCGGCCTTATTTTTGCTCAGCGAGGTTGATGCTGATCTTTTGTTTTTTGCAGGAGACCAGGATAAGTAGCCTTGCTGACATACATCTGGCAAAAAGAGAGTGGAGACGTGGTCCTTCTTTCTGGTCTCTTGCGGCCGAGCCTTACAGCGGTGTTGCGGTCCTTTTTTCCGGTATGGTAACGTGCCGGCGGGTGATCGAGGTAGAGATTGGGAGATGCACGGTCCTAGACGTCACGGTAAGGGGGCAGGACCTGCGCCTGATAAATGTTTATGGTCCACAGACTAAATGGGACAGGAAATGCCTCTTTGCCAAGATTAAGCCTTTCCTTTTTACGGCCCAGCAGGTGGTCTTTGGAGGAGATTTTAATACTGTTACTAGGCCCAAAGACAGGAAGGGCTTCAGAGACCGGTTGGGCTATGATAGCGTTTTTTTGAATACGAGAGTTAGGGAAGCAGGTTTGGTTTGGTAGATGCAGGTTTGGTAGATGCGCACATTCAGCGCTGCTCAGGCAGCACGGGTTTCACATTTCAGAGAGGTAGTAGCCAGAGTAGAATAGGTTTTTTTTAAAAGGGGGATTCTGCTTTCTCGGCTCCTGAGTGTCGGGCAGCAGAGTTCTCTGATCACTGTATACTGTCGGTCACTCTGAATGCCTCTGAGACACACACTAAAGGAAGAGATATTTCTAGATTAAACTCGGCTCTCCTGGACGATGAGAGGGTAAGACAATCCTTTGAGGATTTTTTTC